GATTTTGAACCTCTTCTAATATCTTATTTTACAAAAAAAACCAGCCTGACAGAGAAATGCTGTTTTCTTTCCCAATAGTGGGATGTCTCCCTCAAACGGAGATTCATCTGAATAAGAATGTGGGCGTTTGGTCCATATAGGCTTTCTGTTGTTATTGAGGGAAAAGGTGTTTTGTTTTTTTCACGACATTTGTTTACACCCAAAACAGCCCTGGCAACAAAGCACTGTTTCCTTTACTAATTGTACAAGAATTAGTTTCCTATACAGATTGTATATGGCCCATATCTGGCTGCTAGAATGTTACTCTTCTTTGCAAAATTTTAGTTCCAGAAAGTAGCAATCTGTGTTTTCCATTTGGAATTGTGCAGATTTAAGTAAAACATCCTACCCAGACAAACAACAAACTGCCACATGCACTTTTCCCTAAAACTGAAGTGTGATCTCATAAATCAGTTGTATAGCACCCTCAGAAGCCACTGCAATATTGTATATTATTGGTTCCTACTTGCTGTTGCTTTGGGTTTTAAAGTAACTGAAAGCAATAAATTAGCCTTACAGTAGCTAACATATTTATTTATAAACTAGTTTATATCCCCATTTACTGCAAAGAAGTTCAAGACTGTTTTTCTGTTCTTTTGTACTTGAGAGGTTTCACCATAGGATTCAAATCTTTTTTATATGGACAGTCTCCATAAAAGACACAAGTGGGAGTCTATTGAATAAAGGAAATATATAAGGGACCCTTGGTTAAGTCTAGTCCAAAGTAAATAGTTTGTGTATGCTTTGAGTTCTGCTTATTGCTTAAACAACTGGGTGTAAGTTCTGTATCCAGTTTCCGGACACACATTTCTTTAATTAAAAAATAAATAGCAGTGGCAGAAAAATAATCAAGCAACTCTTTGACCACACACATGGTATATAATCTTAGAAGAAGAATGACCTATTCAAGACTGATCCTTTTAACAATACTATAGTTATCTGGTTTAAGCTGCCTAAAAGCCATTGGAAATAAAAAGATACCTTAGGGTTAGGATCATAGAAAAGTAAGGCTAGAAGTCCTTATGACTATGAATTCACAAGATCATCTAGTCCACCCCCTGCTCAGGGCAGAAGGACAAGCTCTTTGGCATTCATCTTTGTGATGAGAAAACATTAACTGTGACTGAATCAGTCCATCATCCAATGGGAGCTTGTTTCAGGCATACCAATCATGTAAAGAAAAAATGAAACCATATATTTGTGTAACCTTTTTATGCATACAGCTCCTGTTGCCTTCACTGGACATTTGTTGTGCAGATGGTCTCAAGGATTGGGCAGTTGCTATAAAGATGGTGTTCATAGTTTTTAGAAGGCAGTGGCAGTAATAGGAACAGGGGGCAAAAGAGGATTTAAGGGCCTGATTTGGGAACCTAGTAACATAGGAAAGATCTTGGTCAACAGCAATGTGTGCACCTTTTGAGGATCCATGAAAGCCAGACTTTGTTAATAGTTATTAAATGACAAAATCAGGCAAAACTGGGCATAAAAATGCTCTTCAGGGCTAAGAGTTGAATTCTCATCTGTTAAAAATGAAGCCTAGATAGTTTTGTCTTTCCTCTTGTCTGATAGATGAAGAGTTACTTCTTTGATCACAAGTTGGAAAAATAGTGAATGCATTTGTAATATTCTTTAATATTATTGGGAGAGGAGAATTCACATATTATTGCTCCCACTTCATGGCTCTTTTGCAGATACATACCTCAGAAAAGTGTCTGAGAGGGGAAGTCTGTGATGTAGGTATTGTGCCTGATTGTAGCCCCCCCCAATAATATATACACTGGATACTCTAGTCACTCTACCACACAAAGCAGCTGGGAGACAGCGATCAGATGTAAATATATGTTAATTTATACCTATGTAAGGAAAGCAATACAGTGGACAATTAGGTTTGTGTTCAGATAATTTGCTTGTGGTTATTACATCGTAACATCCTATTCCCCCACAACCTACTTCTTTGTACAAATTCTGTATACCTGTGTCACTCTCACCAACTCCTCAATTACTTTTCTTGTGCATTTTGCATTCCTTCCAACTGGTTAACACTTCTTGTGTACAGAGAGCCGTATTCTGTGTGAACTCGCTACCCCTCGGAGCAGGACTGTGATGTGCCTCCCCGCATGCAACTCAGAGCTGCAGTCGTTTTCACTCTGATCTGATTTTCTCATTATCACCCTATCAGTCCTGTTTTCCAAGCATGAATATTTGCTTCCCATGGAGCATTACAGATTTTTTCCTTCAAGAGCTCAGCCATATTTTTCCACTTTTATTTCCCCATGTGTCATTACCTACCTATGTTTCTAATACTTTGTCCCTTGATTATTTCTTACTTTTTCACCAATGTTGACACACTGCTTTATAATGAAAGGGCTGAGGAGAGGATAACTACACGTAGGGCTTGGAAAGAGACCCACTGGCTGATACCTGGCCTTTGTCCTCAGAGGCTCTATGCTAGACACACCTCTCATTTTGTAACCGAAGGTCAGGCAAAGTTTGGCTGGATGTGCCAGGAGCCCAGACTGAATTTTGCCACTGACTTGGAAGGATCCTGGGTTGACATTCCTTATCCATTTTAGCCTTCAGAGCAAGAATGAAGTAAAGGTAAGGACTGGCTTAAATCAGCCAGGAGACTGATCCAACTTCCCCTGAAGTCAACGGAAAGACTCCCATTGTTTTTACTGGTAGCAGAATCACTCCCCAGGTGGAGGAATATATTATCTGACTCAAAAGAGGAAAAAATGAGGAGGTGATGACTGATAGGAAAGGAACCTGGCCTTTTGCAGCATTATGTAACTTAAGAAATGGCAAAACAGCTGCTTGAATTTTCAAGTTTTCTTGATTTTAACTGTTGTTAATCAATTTTTAATGCAAAAATAAAGAGGGTAGGAAAAATGCCACCCAGCCCTCCATAAAATAATTGATTTCTACAAGATCTTAACTAAATAGTCACAACTAAATGCTCTGCTTTGGTCTCACAGGCCAGAGAGGGTAATGTGAACAGCAGCATTGGAAACCAGAGAAAAACAAGAAATTTTTAAAATCTCTGGAAAATGTTATTGGCACTGAATGCTTGAAAAAGGGACTATTGTACAACTGAGATTGCAGACATATTTGTGAAGAACGCAAATAAGGAAGCATCTGAAATATTTGGCAAGTTTGTATTCATAAATAATATTTCAATATAGTAGCGCAAATATTGCTGTGGTAGTTTACAGTGCTGCTTAAACACTGAACCTGCTGAATTTTTCACTTTATAAAGAATGTTTACAGGTAAGTAGATAAGTGTACACATGCAAAATATAAGTGCAAGCATATGGAAATGAGGTGCAGCATTATAAAACAGAGGTAAGAATAGGGGTACCAGGCAGTGGTACGCTGGGGTCAAAAATTCAGCGCCATGTTGACGGGAGAGCTGTCAGGTACTAATGCAGCTCTGCTGTACCTAGGTATTTAATAGAATATGTTTAGAGCCTCAACGAGCTTGTGTAGTGTATTTACACACTGGGAAGTCAAAAGTTATTTGCTGCACAGTTCTTGCATACAAAAATAACTATGCAGATGTTGCTCATCCAGCATGCAAAAGGGAGGTTACGTTTTTCTAGGCGGGTCATAACGTATTTTTAGCTACAAGCCTTGTTATTTGCCTTTATTTCTTGCTCATTACAAATGAATATAAGGCCAAGTTCATTTCCAGCTAGAATTGAAACCGTCCTAGCTAAGTCATGATCTATACCATACTTTGTAGTACTGAACTCTTGAGTCACACTGCTACTTTCTATTAAAATCATAATATAATGGTATGTTTGTTTATTTCTGCCTTTAATATTCTTGTGGCTCTGTACATGTGTGCATGTGTGTGTGTGCGCGCGCGCACACGCACACACACACGTGCAGCTGCAAAAAATCTTCTTAACTCTCTCAGGCCAAGTTTGGTTTTTTTTCATAATTCCAATGCCTGTCAAGCATTTGTATGCCTGGGCAAAATGTTGGTCTCTATGGAGAGTGCTAGAGGATGTGCATGTAGTGAACCACTAACTTGCTTTTAATTAATTTTTAATAAAGTTATTTTTCAAGGACGGGAATGGAAAGATATCTTCATTCTCGGCTAGGACTCTCATGCTTCTTGTTAAATGTTTTCCAGAAGATGTCAGTTGAATTTTTTCCTTTCACAATCTGTACAGATATAGGGGGCTGTCTTAGAGAGAGAAACTGGAGCGTGCTGGTTAGAATTTGATAATAACCCCACCAGAGGTTCTCAGACTTTCTCATAACAAGTTTTATGCCATAAAAAAACAAATCAGTTTATCAAAAATAGTATGTATTTTTTGAGGAAAGGAATCAGTTTCCTTGCAAATTTATGGTTCATTGAAGACCCAACTTTCCATTGGGGAAAAAGCTTAAAAGGAAAATGTTTTGACTAGTTCTGCTTAGGCAGAGTACACATATTGTGGATGCCTTCCCTCCCATCACTGATCTCAAAGACTACCTCCTTTGTCATTCATAGGTACACAAAGTCCCCATGGCAAACTGTATGGCCTAACTGAGGAAGATGCATCGTGAAAGGCATGAATGTGCTCGCTTTTAATTTGATTAAGCAGCTCCAAGTGAGGGGGAGAACCAGAACCGTGACAATTCTGTGCTCATTCGTGTGTGCTTATCTCTCCTTATACGAATAAGTCTTCACAGGATTAGGGTCCATGGGGCTTGCCGTTCTCAACAGTAGTTGCTGTGAGTGTGGCCCACCGCGATTCATAGCCCACAATTTAAACACATGGACCTGCACTCATTTCAGCACAGCTAGCAAGGAAGGAAAGGATCAGATTATTGTGGAAGGCTGCATAAAATGCAGAAAGAGGATAGATCAGAAAGCTTAGAGGAAATAGAAATAATAGGAAGCAAAACATCTGCTTGTATTAACAGAGCTTTATTAAATCTTTTGCCTCCCCTCTTTCTGTTTTCACCAGGTAGCTGCATTTTGTGATGTTGACAGAAATAAAATAGTAAAAGGATTTTACACTTATGAAGAATCTGAGGTTAGTAATGAGTCTTCTTCTTTCCATAGTTGTGGTTTGAAAGTATCTTGTGAAATGTGATATTCATATATATAATCATAGAAGAGCAGGGCTAGAAGGGACCTCTAGAGGTCATCGAGCCCAACCTCCTGTCTGAGGCAGGATCATTCCTACCAAACCATCCCAAGCAAATCCATGTCTAACCTACACAGCTACAAAACCTCCCACAATCCATACCAATCTAACCATGGGGTGAAATTCCTTCCTGACCCCTGAAATCGAGCAATCAGTTGGACCCTGTGCAGAGAGGCAAGACCTTCTAGCTGAGAAATTGAGGGTTTTAGTCCCACCAGGAGCAGTGACACCTTCCAGTCAAAATCCCCAGCCTTGGCTGTAGCCAGCACCCAATGCTTCTAAGGAAAGTGGGGAAAAAAATCCTGTATAGCAGTGGAGGGGGGGAGGAGGGAAAAATTCCTTCCCAGCCCCATGCAGCAACCATTAAGGCCTAGAATCATAAGAAATACCCACAATTAAGGCTCTGAGAAAATCACGGATTTCTTATAGAAAATTCATGGCACGTGCGCGGGTAAAGTATAATTTTTCACAGAACGACCCCTGACCTTGGCAAATGGGTCCGTGTAGTTCCATGAATATTCCATGAAAAATTATACTTTACCCGCACACGTGTGGCAAGCAGGCACACAGCCATAGGCAGCAGAAGGCCGGGGCTAGTGGGACTTAACCCCCTCAAATGCGGGGCAGCACAGAGGGCCGCAGAGCAACCCGGGTGCAGGCTCCAGGTGGCTATAGCAGGTGGGGAGGGGCACACAGACAAATACAGCCTTCACGTTGCCAGGATCGCAGCCAGATGGTGTGCAGAGCACTGCCTACCACAGCAGGTAAGTCAGGGAAGGGGCAAGGGGGGCACAGATCAAGGCCCTCACAGTGAGGGAGGGAGTGGGGCAGGGGCTGGCGTGACTGGGGCCCCGGGGCGGGTCGTGGAACAGTCGGAGCCCAGGCAGCTTGTCCAGGGGCATGGGGGGGCTCCCACTGCTAAGCGCACCTCATGCCCCCTGGATTTGTGCGTAGGGCAGAGGCAGGCTGCCCATTGCGATCTGGGCTCTGCGCCCCGCTGTGCTGCCCCAGGTGCCAGTGCCAGAAGGTACATGGCATCGTGCACGGCAGCCAGCTCCCAGGGCAACAGCAACAGGGTGCAGTCCACCTCCACCCTGTGCACAAATCTCCCGAGGTGTGCGCGGCGGCA